TTTTTTTATTGCAGTTTGGCTGGGGCCAGGCTTGAACCCACCACTCTTAGCATATGGGGCCAGCACCCAACTCACTGAGTCATAGGCGCCGCCCTCTAATAATTACTTTTTTAAGTTACCTTAAGCCTAGGAGCCTGAGGTTGATGCCATGGCACTCTACCCAGGAAAACAGCTTGACAGTCTGTCTTCAAAAAAAAAAAAAAAATCAGTATCTACATTTAATAAAAGGTGAGATAAAGCTTTTAGAAGGTAGAGACCTGTGTTTGTTTTATGTTGCCTTGTATTTGGTAAATATTTGTTCAATTATTCAAGCTTGGTTTAAATACTGGATTGTAGCTCGGTGCCTTGGGCTCAGCCGGCTAAGGCACCAGCCACATACACCTGAGCTGGTGGGTTCGAATCCAACCCAGACCCGCTAAACAACAATGATGGTTGCAACCAAAAAAAAGCCAGGCGTTGTGACGGGCCCCTGTGGTCCCAGCTACTTGGGAGGCTGAGTCAGAAGACTCGCTTGAGCCCAGGAGTTGAAGGTTGCTGTGAGCTCTGATGCCACAGCAGGGCAACAGCTTGAGGCTCTGTCTCAAAAAAATAAATAAATAAATACTGGATTGTAATAGGGAAGAATAAAACAAAAAGTATTGGTTCTTTAGGCAAGAAAAGTCAATAGAATGTTAACAGAAATGTGTAAAGATAAGGATTTATGAACACTATTTGCTTAAGTGTAGGTTAGAATAGGGTGACCAGATTTTAACATTTGTAAAAAGGGACAACATAGCTGGGGGAGGGGGGGTGGCGGGGCGGGGCCGGGCAGGGCCTGACAACAATGCAAACCTTGATAAGCAGGTCTCAATAATCACTGATCAACAATTATTTGTTATTATTACAGTTTAACATTATAAAATTAACAAAAATAATCTAAAACTCATATTCTGGTGAGTAGCCACGTGGCAGCCAAAAACCGTATATTCCCTTCCTGTTCTCCTGCCTGTTCGTGCATTCTTTCCAAAAACTGGGACTTTTTAAAAACACCACAGGACACGGGACAAATTGTTAAAAAGCGGGACGTCTGGTCACCCTAGGTTAGAAGTTAAATATTGAAACTTTGACTAAAACTGGCATTTTCTTGGATGTTTCCTATCAAACATATAACTTCCTATTTGTTCATAATAGAAGTCTAAGTTTGAGCTTGATTTTTATGAAGGTAAATTTTTTTAGGAAGTCAAAGTGAATTGGGCAACAACTCCCAGCAGTCAAAAGAAAGATACAAGCAGTAAGTATATTTAATACTCTATGAACATTGTTTTTTATTAGACCCAGTAGTTTTATTGTAAAGCATTTAATCATCATACATGTTTGCAGTAATGTTTTGATCGTTATCCTAAGATATGATTTAATGTGTTTGTGTTAATAAATTTAAGAACAAATCTAATCTTTGTCATCAGGTAGTACCGTTGTCAGCACACAGCGTTCACAAGGTAATTGTATCTTCTTAAACATAAAATGAAATCTCTTGAAAGGGTATTCACTAACCACTTGAAGTTTTTTTGTTTCATACGGGGGTGGGGGAGAGGGGAGGGAGGAAGTATAGTATTTCTTTTTGTCTCTCTGGCAATATATTTACCCCTTCTTCCCAGTGTTGACCATGTGTGGCTTGTCCACTAAGTTCTAGTCCAAGCTCTCTGATCCCCTTGGTAGCAGCTGATGCCTTAGAAATACTCTCACAAACTAAAGGGCAGTATACCCTGCTTCCTTGAGGTCACCTTCTGACCTTCATACCCAAATCTTCCAAATGGTTGAGTTGCTCCTGAAACTTTGTTTCCCAGAGAGTAACCCTGTATGTTGCTTAAGGCCTGCCAAATATGGGTAACTTCTTTCCAAATGTACCTTGTCAAAATTGATAGATATATTTCCATTTTAAAGTGTTGGTCCAACAATTTTGCATTTTTAAAGTGTTTCTTTTTTTGAGAATTGTCTTTTTTAAAAAGTTCAGATATTTCTCTCCAATGCTTTTTTAATGGTTCTGATATAAAGTGAAGGGATTACTGTTTTCATTCTGTTGCCTTCAGTCTTAGTTCACTTGCACATGGATTCACATAAACTGAATGGTGTAATGTCTGGGCAACCAAAACTGTTGGCTTTTGAGAAAACTGTCAAATACTTTAACATCAAACTGTTGCAATGCAAGGTATTTCTTTGATTGTTCTTCACAAAATATGGTTAAACCAAGTATATCATGTAGCTAGCTTCAGTAAATTGTGTTAACTGAGGCAAATCTAGTCTTCGTAATTCACAATTACCACTACTTTATTTTAATTTATAAAGCCTTACTATAGTGGTAAACTTAATGAAAGTAAAGAATTATTATTAGAATGGTAACTATGTGATTAATTTTTTTGCAGAAATGAAATTTGTTATATAATATTAGTTTATTGTCTTAGACCAGTATAATAATTGACTGTATATAGAAATATAACTGTCAGTTTCTAGTTAGATGTATCACAGGCTTTTTAGGAAAATTTTTACTGTATTATTGCTTTGATTCATTATGTTTAAAATTGATAGGATTTGTATAGGTAGAGGATAGTGTTTTATGGATACTTTATTATAATTCATAAATCATTTTGAGAATACTAGAGAGATTTTAGTATTTGTTAAATTCTAAAGTTCTATTTTTCTTTTCACTTCCCCTTCCTTACCCTTAAAAGATCATTTCCATGTCTTTGTTGGTGATCTCAGTCCAGAAATTACAACTGAAGACATAAAAGCGGCTTTTGCACCATTTGGAAGAATATCGTAAGTAACAGAACATAAATAAAATACTTTTCATTAGAAATAATCTTACATTAATTTGAAAATAATTCTATTGTGAATTTTGGACATTAATTTTTAACAATTGAATATAACGTATTATCTGTTTAGAGATTATTCCAGAAGCTAATAGCCAAAGATTATCCTTTCATTGATGAATAAATCTATATTTGGTCTCCAATTATCTTAAAATCCTTTTTCAATTAGCATAAACTTTTAAGAGACAAATACAAGAACTATAATATTTCTTATATAAGTATCTTGCTTGGTGATAATCTAATAATTTGTGCTTTGACCGAGAAACTTAGATTCCCTTGGGCACTTCTATGATACCATGCATTTTGTGTTAATATGTTTTAAAAGAAAGAAACCTTAACAGCCTAGAAAAAGCAGTTACTAAATACTATTTTCTAGGTATTTACCCCCTTTTTCTAAATTGTTAACAGTAGTAGTGCCTTATAGTATTTTGTGAGGCACTGTCTTGCTTGCACTTGTGATTAATCATCCATTTTAAGCCCTCTGTAATTAACTTACTTGAGGTAGCATCCATCATAGAAAGAACTTTAATACTTTGAAAAGCATATTGTATTAGAGTGAGAGTAACAGCTTTTAGTAGTACTTTCTTAGGAGTGATTGTTGAAGTTAGAAAATTTTCATAGGGTTTCTGGTTGCTTTATTATTGTTCCAGCTAGAATAATAAAAAGGAAAGACTAGCTGTGGTTTGGTTTGAACAGAGTAACAGTAGAGATGTGAATGAAGATGAGGGAGACTGGAAGGGAAATAAATGCCATTAATATTGGTGATGAATTTTGGGGAGTTTTCATTTGAAAAGTTAATGTAGTTCATTGGTAAGAGGATAACAATTCATAGTGACCAAGGAGTGGCCAATTTTAAAGGCAGTCACAAGATTAGGATTTATAAATGGACTTTTCTGTTAGATGATTATTTTTCTTTGTAAGGAGTGATTAGGAAAATAAAGTTTTAATTGTTCTTTTTAACCTTAGTGTTTTAGTAGTGGTTAGCTTGTGTTTCAAATACCTAGACTTGGAGGGTCTTAAACTTTGACCTCTCAAGGGCTCTGTATCTCTGCCTTCAAAATTTTGTGTTTTCATTTGGTGTGGAGAGTAGCCATAGAACCATACATTTAAGAACCCTGAACTAGATTTTTGCTTCTACTTCCTCAGTGAATCCCTTTCAAAGATTAATAAATAAGGTCAGGTGTGGTGGCTCACGCCTGTAATCCTAATACTCTGTGAGGCCGAGGTGGGTGAATTGCTTGAGCTCTTGAGTTCGAGACCACCCTGAGCAAAAGCAAGACCCTGTCTCTACTAAAATAGAAACACTGGGGCCGGTGCCTGTGGCTCAAAAGGTTAGGGGACTGGTCCCATATTCCGGAGGTGGCGGGTTCAAACCCACCGCTGGCCAAAAATTGAAAAAAAATAAATAAATAAAATGGAAAAACTGAGGCAAGAGGATCACTTGAGCCCAAGAGTTGGAAGTTGCTGTGAGCTATGACACCATGGCACTGTACCCAGAACGACAGCTTGAGAATCTGTCTCAAAAAAGGTGGGGCGGGGGTGCCTATAGCTCATGGGTTAGGGTACCAGCCACATACTCCGGGGCTGGTGAGTTTGAACCCTGCCCAGGCCTGCTAAACAAAAACAACAACAACAAACTGGCCGGGCATTATGGTAGGCATCTGTAGTCCCAGCTAGCAGGGAGGCTGAGGCAAGAGAATCACTTGAGCCCAAGAGTTTACGAGGTTGCTGTGAGCTATGACACCAGGGCACTCTACCGAGGGTGACAAAGTGAAACTCTGTCTCAATTAAAAAAAAAAAAAAGATTAATAAATAAGAGTTAAATTTTTTTGAGGCTGACATTTCCTGTATCTAAAGAAGAAAAAAAACCCTATATTCCAAGCTACTCAGGAGGCTGAGGCAAGAGAATCACCTAGGCCCAGGAGTTGGAGGTTGCTGTGAGCTGTGTGATGCCACGGCACTCTACCAAGGGTGATAAAGTGAGACTCTGTCTCTACAAAAAAAAAAAAAGTAAAGAAGAAAAAACTTTTTCTAACATTGTGAACAGATTAAATAACTTTAATTAAATGCTTTAATTTTAATTAAAGTAACTTTTTTTAAAACATGGGAATTTTAATTTGGGATTAGACAAAAATTATGTCATAATTGATAAGTTAAATGACCTTCAAATTTTAGTAGTTTCTTGACTTTAAAAATCATGGATTGGCTCGGCACCTATAGCTCAACCGGCTAAGGCGCCAGCCACGTACACCTAAGGTGGCAGGTTCAAATCCCCAGCCCGGACCCGCCAAACAACAATGATGGCTGCAACCAAAAAATAGCCGGGCGTTGTGGCGGGCGCCTGTGGTCCCAGCTACTTGGGAGGCGGAGGCAAGAGACTCGCTTGAGCCCAGGAGTTGGAGGTTGCTGTGAGCTGTAATGCCACGGCACTCTACCCAGGGTGACAGCTTGAGGCTCTGTCTCAAAAAAAAAAAAAAAAAAAAATCATGGATTGGCTCAGTACCCATAGCACAGTGGTTATGACACTAGCCACATACACCAAGGGTGGCAAGTTCAAATCCAGCCCAGGCCAGCTAAACAATGACAACTGCAACAACAAAAAAATAGCCGGACATTGTGGCAGGTACCTGTAGTCCCAACTACTTGGGAGGCTGAGGCAAGAGAATCACTTAAGCCCAAGAGTCTGAGGTTGCTGTGAGCTGTGATGCCATAGCACTCTACTGAGGGCAACATAGTCAGACTCTGTCTCAAAAAAAAAAAAAAAAAAAAGCATGGACTGATAATTTCTTTTTGTTAGGTATGTTCTGGTATCATATTTTTAGTTTAGAGATTTTCTTATGGTCCCATATATATTTATGTATACAGTGTTTTTTTTTTTTTTTTGGTAAGGTCTTTAAGTTTTATAAGATTTTTAGTTGAGGTAATGTATAATGTTTGGTTTTAGGTGAAAGAAGGAGGTAGTTTTCCTAAATTTAGAAGAATCATTTGGCAGGTGGTAGCATATTTTCCTATTTCTTTTTTTCCTGTTGTTGTTGTTAACAGAGATAAGCTGATAACTATATATGGAAAGGTTCCTGTAATACTCAGATATTCTCTTTAGAGTGCCTATAGCAGTGCTTGACTTATTATACAAGGTGTGTGATAAAACAGTGGTCTGTTATAATACATAGTATGAAAAGTGTAGTACTCGTCCTGATTTACACAGCTTAAACTTTTTGTTCCTTGAGTATAGAGGGTAGACTAACAAATTATGATATAGAAGTGACTCAGTTACTAAGTTAAATGCATGTGTACCATACAGATAATTTAATAAATATTTTTGCATATTGAGAATAACTTGCATTAGTTTTCCCTTTTCACCATCACCTCTTTGTCATTTTGACCCTAAACACTTACTAAATCACTCAAATTAATCTGAAATATGCTTATGTATACTTTAATATAAAATTACATTGCATGGCTTTCTGACTTGGG